TATATATATATATATATATATATTCATGTGTGAATATAATCATAGGCACATTTGAAGACACACGATATATAGTTCCTATGAATAGTACTAATAGGCATATTCGAACACATCAATAACTCTTATATAATGTATATGAATATACACATAGTCACATTGGAATACACTCGTAATTATGACAGCCACATATGAATGGACTCATTGTTCTCATGTAATGTATCTATGAATATACTCGTAACGTGTAATGTATATTCATGTATGAATATACTCATAGTCACATTGGTGAATACATTGATAGTTCTTTATTGGACACCGATTTTTATAACAATTTTCTTAATATACACATTGTCTTATGCGTATTCCATCTTGAGACTTGTGTGGTCTGCGGACGTCACTATTAGGGACAATGTAAAACAATGTGCTTGAAGAGTGTCATTTCTAGTTTGACTAGCATCTCTGATAGCTGATAGACCAAATAGATATCTTCAAATAGTTTATATTCGTTAGAAGACAACTAACATTCTAGGTTACAATTAATGTATATTCTAGGTTACGTGATATAAACTAGAAGTCCAACTTTCTAGCTGATCTGATGGCAACTGGATTACTCTCACAAGATCCTTACCTTCGTTTATGAAAACCTAAAAACGCTTTTAAAACAAGTTAGCAAAAATGGTTCACTACATTGAAAGTTTATTATCTAAACGCTCCGTTACTCATTAGGGCGACTTACTTATCATATTTGTATCTACATAACTCAGGATTGTGAACTCGTGTTTCTTTCTACTCAATTTTTGCAAAAACGACGAACAAATGTACAAGGTGGTCGTCATAGATCGAAAAGGTAATTCGTAATGAAACCCTAATGCCACAACACAAGGGGAAGCCTAGTTTCTAGTTTGCCATGATCTGAGTCGCCCTTAACCCTGGATTTAATTTCCGTTTTAGTTCTTAATTTCACTATCAAATCAGTTGGACTTACATTTAGAAAATAAGTTAAAGGCCGCAAAATTCATAACGAAGTCTGCAACAACAGAAACCGGACCCTGTTTCGTATCTCGTACAATCTATAAATATCATCCTCAAACATTTTGACCTCAATTAATTTATGACTCCTAGTGAGAAACATTTGATGTTCCATTGCATAAAAGTATTCCGGTTTGAAATTTGTACAAACATGGCAAGAAATGCAAATGGGAGTTAGGAAGGATTTTAGAGCCATAATTAAAAAAGTTAAAAAAAAAAACTGAAAAAAAAAACAACTCATTCACATGTGCATGCACTTAAGGACACCCCACCCCGTAATTTCTTCACCCTTCACATTTTTTCTGCATTTACTCTCTCTAACATCTCCCCTAATCTTCTCCTCTCTCTCTCTCTTTTGCTAACACACAAATGCATACAAATCCATGCTGTATCTATATTCCTTGAAATCTCTGGCCGTTACCCATCAGTCTCTCCTCAGAAAATCGAAATTCTTGCTCCGATTATCATTTTTTTGTGTTTCCGTTGGTTATGTGTAGGGTGACGGAACTGCTGTTACTACAAGAAAGCAGATAAATCAGTGGTGTCGATTAGCAGAAGTTGATTGATTGATTTAGTATTGGGGTTAGGGTGTTTTGGTGTTAGATTAAAGGGTTAACTGGAAATCGTTTGTTTTTGACGTCGTCGGAGAGTAATTTATGGCTATGGAATTGGCTATCGGAGGAGGTGGTGGTGTTGGTGGGTCGGGTGGCGATGACCACCATGATCAGCCATCGGATCCTAATCGTGACAAGAAACGCTACCACAGGCATACTGCTGAGCAGATTCAGCTTCTGGAAGCGTAAGATTCCTTTTTACTGTATTTCATTTCCGATTTTTGTTGCTTTGTAGCATTTCGACGTGAAAATTATCGATTTTTGATATCGTTTTCTGGTGGGAAATTGTAGAACTTTCAAAGAATGCCCCCATCCTGATGAAAAGATGCGATTGCAATTGAGTAGGGAGTTGGGTTTGAATCCTCGTCAGATCAAGTTCTGGTTTCAGAATCGAAGAACTCAGCTCAAGGTTTTCATCTCTCTCTCTCTCTCTAATATACTTATATGTATATATATATTCATATCAAGTTCTGGTTTCAAAATCGGAGAACTCATCTCAAGGTTTTCACCTTCTCTCTCTCCTCTCTCTCTCTCTCTCTATATATATATATATATATATATGTGTGTGTGTCTGTTCATATATGATCTGAATCGGGTTTAAGTTCAATCGATGAATACAGCTCAAGGTTTTCATCTTCTCTCTCTCTCTCTCTCTATATATATATATATGTATATGTTTATATATGTGATGTGAATTAATCGTGTTTAAATTGAAGTGAAATTGATGAACTGGGTGCAGGCGAAAAGTGAGATGGCGGATAATTGCTTGCTAAGGGTGGAGAACGACAAAATTCGCAGTGAGAACATTGCCATTAAAGAGGCTTTAAAGAATGCATTGTGCATAACTTGTGGTGGTCCTCCTGTTGCTCAAGATCACCTTCTTGAAGAACAAAGACTTCGTTTTGAAAACGCCCACTTGAAAGAAGAGGTACACACATATATATATATATATATATATATATATATAATCTAATTAAACCACGATTCATTAATGAATTTTAGCCATCTTAATTCATTCATTCATTCATTTGCTTAATTATACATCCAAATACATGATTTGCTTTCGCTTTTCCATTCAATTTTGTGACTTTTTAGTAATGTTTTCGATGTAATGAGTATCAGAAGATCGTAGATCCAAATCTATTTCAGTAAGAGCCCGGTTCGGTTCAAATGACAAAATACAAATATAAATGAATATATTCATCAATGAATATTATATATTCATTGATGAATATAGTCATGGACAAAAATTCTCAAATTATTTGCGGTTCTTACTTTAATCTTCCCCTATATAGTAATTACATGTATGATACACATTCTTTTTTGAGGTGTAACAGCTGGATCGAGTATCGGGCATTGCAGCAAAGTTCATGGGGAGGCCACTGTCGCTGTTCGCACCAGCAGCAGTACCTCCAAGTCACTTATCTGCACTCGATTTATCGATGGCTTCTTATGTTGGCGGTACACAACACCAGATGATCCCTGTGGCTAGCGGCAGTGGTGGTCCTTCGCTTGATCTTGATCTTTTCACCACCACTGGCATGGCGGCTCAGCCGCCCACCATCCACCCCAGCCACCCTCTCCGCCCTACGGACAAATCCATTGTGGTGGATATTGCAACTGCTGCCATGGATGAGTTACTCAAGCTGTTTCAGACTGATGAGCCACTTTGGACCAAATCTGCTGTTGATGGCAGGAACGTCCTCGAAATCGATACTTACGAACGTATCTTCCCGAGACCAAATACGTCCATTAAGAATCCACATTTATGGATCGAAGGCTCGAGGGCTTCGGGTGATGTGATGATGCACAGTATGCAACTGGTGGATATGTTCGCTGATTCGGTTAAGTGTCTTTCTTTTTTTACACTATCGTTTCTTTTAATTTTCGGTAATTAATCATAATTCGGGATGAATCTTTATTCGGGCAGACCAAATGGGCTGATCTATTTCCCACAATCGTGTCGAAAGCAAGAACGATCGAAGTGATCTCATCTGGAGTGTTCGGCGACCAAAGTCGCTCTCTGCAGCTGGTAATTATATTCACATGTGAATATGAGTAATCTTTTCGGTTTTTATGACTTCTTTCCTTTCATTATGTTGGGTTGTTTGGCAGATGTACGAAGAGTTGCAGGTGGTTTCACCTCTGGTTCCCATTCGGCAGTTCCTTTTCATTCGATATATTCAGCAAATCGAACCAGAAACTTGGGCTGTTGTCGATGTTTCCTATGATCCTCCTCAAGATGACGACGGCTTTCCTTATTCCCAACTGAATTCTCGCCGCCTTCCTTCCGGATGCTTGATCCATGGCATGCCCAATGGGTACTCTAAGGTTTGTCGATCAACTCGTGTATTTTTCTGAATCATGGATGTCTAGACCAACTTGTGTGTACCTCGACTGATCCCATGGAGGCCTATATATTCATAATTCCTTTAATCACAATCGTGTTTTGATCAAAACAGGTTATATGGATCGAGCATTTGGAAATCGAAGAGAAAACCGCAGTCCACAGGCTTTATAGAGATCTGATTTACAGTGGTTTGGCATTTGGAGCCGAACGATGGGTCGCTTGTCTTCAAAGATCTTGCGAAAGAATCGTTTGCCAAATGGTAACGAACTCCAATTCTTCGGTTCGTGAACTTGGAGGAGGTATATTCATCGATCTTTCGTGAGCTCCAACGATTTTGATTCTTAATTCCTGTATATTGAAGCGTTTATGATATTTGATCTTCTTTTTTTGCTTTTAATGTCAGTGATTCCATCAGCCGATGGTAAGAAGATCGTGATGAATTTAGCGCAGAGGATGGTGAACAACTTCTGCACTAGCATCGTACCAAGTAGCGGTCATCTCGGGACGTCTGTCTCAGATTTTGACGACTTTGAGGTCCACATGGCTCTTTACAAGTCTTCGGACCCCAGTCAGGCGAACACCATGGTTCTTGCCGTTGCTACCACCGTCTGGATGCCGTTTTCGCCACAGTTCGTCTTTGATTTCCTTCGCAATGAAAGTAACCGCCATCAGGTACTATAAACCAACACACACTGTACTTGGACGGCCTAATAGGGTACTTAATAGGACTTTCACCAAGATCTCTACGTCCTTTATATTTAAACGTGTTACAATCCTATTAGCATGCACACACATTTATATAAAACACACACATATATATATATATATGTAAGTATATGACACTTATTAAGTCGTCTAACAACTTATTATAACACCATTAGATATGAATCATGGTTTTTTGGTCTTACGACCTTAATTATAGTCCTATTAAATACTCAACTAGGACATTCGCAAAAGACCCATTTTGTTGTAGAGACATAAGAAAACATGCAAATGCTATGACAACATTATTTACTCAACCTTGTTCGTTTCGTCAGTGGGACGTGCTCACGAACCATAACCCGGTCCAAGAGGTTACGCATATCGCAAACGGGGCTCACCCTGGAAACTGCATATCTCTTCTTCGAGTAAGTCGACTTGGTGCACCTCATGGCTCGATCCATCTCCAAATTTATAGCTTTGATTAATTAAGTTTCCTGATTGATCGATCTGCAGACTCAGAATACAAGCCAGACCAACATCTTGATTCTCCAAGAGAGTTGTACCGACTCATCTGGCTCGCTAGTGGTTTACTGCCCGGTGGACCTGCCGGTGATCAACATCGCCCTGAGCGGTGAAGACCCGCTCTATGTTCCGTTGCTGCCATCAGGGTTTGCCATCACCACCGACGGCCGCCAGAGCTCCACCACCTCACCCGCAACAGGAGATTCAAGCGGCCAGAATCCCACCGCAGGTTCACTTGTTACATTGATGGTGCAGTCGGTGATTGGCGGTCCGGCATGGGGGAAACTAGGGCCGGAGTCGATGACCACCATCAACAACCTTATGGGAAACACCATCCGGCAAATCAAAGCCGGATTGAATTGCAGTTCTACCACCATTTGAAACATTAGTACTTGTTATGTGTTGTACTGCTGAGGCATGGTGGCATGTTACTTTCTTTACCATCTTCAACTGCTACTTTTATGTTCTTGAGGGATTATTTATAATGGGTTGACTTTTTGGTTTAATTTTTTATTTATAGAGATTTAATGCATTTTCAGGTAAAGAGGGAGTCAAGAACACATGACCATGCCTACCTTCCAATGTATGGTCTGGGAAGAATTGACTTTTGTGTTTTCCTTCCTATATACCTATACATATACATGTCTAGATGTATATGCATATGGATATGTTTCTTACATATGCATACATATTCACATATGAATACATATACATGTGTGCATCTATACTTGTACTGTACAGGTTGGGTTCCGAAGAGAACGATGTTTTGCTCTGAGAAAGTGAGAAAAAGAGAAGGTAATCTCATGTTGTGTGAGGATGTTTTTATATCGTGTGAGTATTACAACATTCATACAATATATCTATACATATACATGTCTGTATGTATATGCATATGGATATGTTTCTTACTTATGCATACATATTCACATGTGAATACATATACATGTGTGTATGTATACTTGTACTATACAGGTTGGGTTTCGAAGAGAACGATCTTTTACTGTGAGAAAGTGAGAAAAAGAGAAGGTATTCTCATGCTGTGTGAGGATGTCTTTATATCGTGTGAATATTACAACATTCACACAATATACCTATATATATACATGTCTATATGTATATGCATATTATTATGTTTTTTACATATGCATACATATTCACATATGAATACATATACATGTGTGTATCTATACTTGTACTATACAGGTTGGGCTCCGAAGAGAACGATTTTTGCTGTGAGAAAGTGAGAAAAAGAGAAGGCATTCTCATGCTGTGTAAGGATGTCTTTATATCGTGTGAATATTACAACATTCACACAATATAATGTAATCTTTAAATATGTACGTGAAGGTGAAGGTGAAGGTGAAGGTGTATGTATATGTTTTGCGGTTTTTTATGCGAGTTTGTCAGGTAGCTATGTGAATGGGTTCTTCATGGTTATTGATAATGTTTCTTTAGAAAACTACCAAACAAAAGGCCTTATCGACTGAAAAATCCGTCGGTAACGAACATGCAATGTCTCGCCTGGTGGATTACTAGCAGCGGATATCGTCCTCCGTTATAACCGATGGTGAACTTTTTCCATTTTAATTATAATACATTAATAAGACTTAATTAATTCGGTGGATAAAATCATCGACAAATATATCTGCCGTAAATTTAATTATTTAATTGTTAAAATAATAAAACGATGTCTCACTTGGTAATCTGTCATTGCTTTTATAAATTACTCACAGATGATTTATTTATCAAAAAATAAAAACTGTAGACGACACATCCCACTACAACAAAATTGAGTTTATAGGACACCCCCAATCTCTAAGTATCCCAATAGACCTCTTTATAGGACCAAAATATAAAGTGTCATATGTAAAGTTGTTGTAATAAGTTTATATGACGCTTTTGGACGTCTTAACAAGTTTTTTAGGACATTTTTAATACAAAGTGTCACATTAACAACTTTATAAGATACTTTTGAGAAAATGTCCTATAAACTTATTTTTTTATAGGACACTTATTTTTATAGGACAATTTTTCAAATAGTGTCCTATAAAGTTGATAATTGGACATTTTATATTAAAAGTGTCCTAAAAAAACTTATTACGACGTCAAAAAACGTCATATAAACTTATTAGAACRCCTTTAGATAAGACATTTTATTTTTTTGGTCCTATAAACCAAGTCCTATAAAGAGGTCTATTAGGACACTTAGAATTTGAGAGTGTTCTATAAACCCGATTATGTTGTAATGTACAAACAAAAATGTAAATATTAACAAGATCTTTTTCTAAATAGTGGCACCATTTGATTATAAGAAATAAATATAGGGGTGTTTTTCATAAAATTATAATTGGTTTGTTGGTTAGTTCATTGTTTTTCATATGTGAGGTTATATGGTCAAGTCTTTTATTGAATTTTTTTTCTTCAGTCACATAATAAATCTAAGATTAAAAGGTAAAAACTAAGAATGAAATTAACAAGATCTATACTCAGGTTTGGGGTGGAAGAAAAGTCTTACAAACCAACTTGAAACACCCTCAAATCTTGAAAAATCAACTAATTTAAAATTTTCAATAATATATCAAATAAATGATATATCATCTTTTTCTATAAGCCAAACCTTGATTCCCTCATACAGTAATCTAGATTTAATATCAATAATAATATGGCAAACTCAACCTTACATAAAGTCTAGGCCAAGATCAGATCTTACTAAAACCCCAGTCGCTATTCCAAAATACGGACGACTTCCCAGATAGCTAAATCCTTCCTGGCAACTACTAGCGCTCCATTATTCACAATATCGTTAGTACCATTCCCCAAAAAGACCTGATGTACATGCCGACAATAAAAAAAGGTTAAGTTTAACGTCTAGTGACTTCAAACAATTTTCATCATTAATATAAAACCGGTAAAATTGAAAGAATGTTTTGTAAATAACAATTTCAAAATGAAAAGGGGTTTAGTACAAAAGCAACATCTTTTTCAAAACCCATCATTTTCGTAATTAAAATTTGGTTACCAAACGCTCACTTTAACTATGAAGTCAAAACCCAATACTCACCCAAAACTTGAATAAGATTTAATATTCACATACTGAAAAACATGGATAAAACTCTATAATTCTAAACATCCAAAGAGCATGGGTATATCCAAAACAAGAAGACATGAATAAAATCTAATATCAAAAGCAACAAGACATGGATAAGTTTCGAGACACCAAGACCATATAGCATGGTTACACTCCATATCCAAAGTAACATAAAAAACATAAATAAAAAATATATGTAAATAACACCTTTCGGTGACGGCAAAGACCTGTTTCCATCAAGTGGTAGAACACTAAGTGAACCACATCAAGATGTTGACAAGCAAATCATCCCAAGCATACAAACCTTGGTGACTACTTTATTTGGGGCTAATATAAGAACATCAAAACTTCCTTACTTAGTCAGTCCCTAAGTTAAAAGCTGACAACATCAAAACTCCTCATTTGCCTAAAATCAAAGGTTCTAAAGTGAGAACGTCAAAACTCCTCATTCGTCTCAAGCCAAAGATATCAAGAAAAGAACCTCAAAAGTTCTCTCTTGTCATGACCAATAGGGTCCAAGTTGAGAACACCAAAACTTCTTACTTGACTAAACCCTCTGTCTTCAAGCCGAAAACATCAAAACTCCTCTCTTAACAAACAAGACTGACACATATATCTATGGATTCAAAGCATGCCAGTCTAATTTACATGACTCTAAATGAATTATCAACACACTCAAAACATGTAATTCTCAACAATGCAATAATTGCATATCATGTCTCAAGCTCAACATAGAGAAAATAAAACTAGACAAATGTCCCCCAAAATCATCTGAGTCAAAACCGAACCAATAACTCAACTGTTCAATTGAGTATTTAATAGAAGTCTGTATAAACCAATAAAATACAAACTACCTAAAGTTTATACAACTTAAGCCCAAAAGATGTGAATATCGTTATTATCGATTCAAAGATTAGGCAAAATCCCAAAACACACCATAACTTCAAGAAAACATTTCCAAATAAACAATGTCACCCAAAATGTATCCAACAACTCAATCATAGCTATTTTCTGAATGGTTTATAAAAATCAAAATACCAAAAGTATTTTAACATCAAATAATCCCATATGAAGAATAAATAATCAAAAAAATCCACACTTATGATTTATTTATCAAAAAGTCTAAAATCCCAAATATATATACTTCTCAAGATTTTATAAGACCAAATGTGTACAAGATGTAAATCTATCAAGTAATCGACAATATTTCATAAATCCTGAGGTAAACACTTCAAGACTCCAAAATAGACGTTTTTGGCATGTACAAAGTTTTCACAAAGCAACTTGAATTCGACTTGTGAGAAATGCTAAATCTAGGTTTTACCCCAAATCTTGAACTTTCTTTGGTGAAGACTTGAAATTCCACGTTAGACTTTAAATCCTAGAAGCAAAGATCTAAAGAACACTTATTTCACTCCCCAAAACAAAACAAAGAAAACCAAGGAGAAATGAGAGTTGCTGGTGAATATGGTTCAAACCCTAGATTCAACAAATGGTAGATGGATTTTACCAGTAGCTTCTAAGAACTTCAAAACATAAGTAAAATCTTCAAGATCCACAAGAAAATCGACCAAAAAGCCTTCAGCAGAAAACCCATAAAACCAAGTCAACGATAGTGGAAAATGATGGAGAAGATGAAGAAGATGAAATTGAATCTTGAGACTTTTATCTCCAACACAAGAATCCAAGAATCAAAGCTTTTTAAATGTTAGGAAAAGCCTTTAATCGATTCCTTAAATGGTTTGAGAGGGAGAGAATGAGTGGAAAAATGAGTTGGTTAGAACAAAAATGAAAAGAAAGAGACAAAATCCCGATTTTAAAAGAAACATCAGCTCAAAATTTGGCTCATCCTCCTCGGGCTTGAAGAAACTTTCATGGGCGTGAAGGTAGTCTCCCCGGCGCATGAAGATTTTGCTCCGGGCGTTAAACTTCTCCATAAAATAAACAACTTGATTCTCACCCAAAATATTATACGAACTCAAAGTACATACCAAGAGTTTATTCTGAAGTCGAAATATAAATTATGGAACTCGAAAATAAGCATATCGAAAATCAAGATATTACAATCCTTCCAACATTGAAATTGATTTCATCCTCGAAATCTAGTAGCAGTCATACACTCGAATGCCACACACAATGGGATCACTTGGCTCTCCATGTTTCAGTCCTCCCCGAAAAATCAAACTTCGATCCAACAGTTCTCCCATCATAAATATCACACATTCCCTTTTCTCGAAAAGTACTTGAACCAAAAAAGGCTCATGGGACGGGTCTAAACATCCCCACAACCTGG